GGGATAGAAAATCCCTCACTTCTCAGCCTGCCTGAGTGGGGTCTGGTATGTCTTTTAAAGGGTGAGGTGGCTTTGACCCTGGGTTGCCCGGCCAGCACGACCGAAGAGGTGGCTGGACAGCAGGAGGATGAACGGAGAAGCTGACTGTCCCACAGACCTGGAAATGGCCGCCCCCAAAGGCCAAGGTAGGGGCCCCCACCTCCAGGCCTCTTAAACTTAAATTCTCTTTCCCACGTGCTGTCTGCAGGGCTCACTCCCCTTCTAAAGAGTTCTCCAGTCCTCATTCTGTGAACTGGGGGGAGAAAGTGTCTGGAGTGTTTATGAGTCAAGCATCCCTCACACTTGGAGTTTGGGTAAATCCAAATTATTTGGCCTGGGGCCATTCCCCTCCCCTCCATGTTAGAGGCAGGTGAAGGGAGCTTGTGCAGGTCTTCCTTCTGGGGTTCCCAGTCAGCCCTAAGTGTGTCCCAGCCCAGTGTCCTGGAATGGGAGGAAGGATCAGTGTGGAAGAAGGGGGAGGAGGGCAGTTGGAAAGGCTTCTCAGGCTTTTTATTGTCATTAAGATGACAAGCTTTTTGTGGAGGCTGATGGAATGAGAGGGTGTTGTGGTGGTTTGAGGCCCCAAGCCATGGGATGTATATATACTAGACCCCTACCTCATCCAGCAGAGATCCAGTCTGTGTGGGGGTGGAGTACAGGATGAAGCTGAGCATCTGGCAATGCTTGTGGCACATTGAGGGGAGAGGGGATTAGGGGTCCATGTGACCCGCTCTGCAGAAATCCTGGCCCAGGTTACCAGATGCAAATGAAAATGAAGAGCCCTTTTGACTTCTGGCTGTGGATAGGTGTCCTCCCAGTTCACCTTCCAGGGCAGCCACTCTCCAAAGAGGCCTGGAGCTCTCAGGGGCTGCATTTCAGTGGCTGAAAATAGCTGGTCCAGACCCCTTTTTTTGCCTCCCTGAGGAGGTGGACTGAGAAGACAACTTGTAATTCCGGAGGTCCTCCCTGCAGCAGGGCCCTGAGAGCCTTTGCCCACCTGCCCGCCTGGCCTCAGAGCTGCCCTGTGTGGTTCTTCCATTTCCATCCCCTTTTTCTTATATGCCAGAAATCCTCCTTTGGCCTACCTTGAGAGGCTGGAAGAGGGTGGTGTCTCTAATGTTGGTTTCCAGCTGTGCTGGAGAGATCTGTATAGGTTTTCCTTACTGTCCACATGCTATCCTCAGTCCTTGCACATTTAGGGTATCCACTTAGAACTTAGACTTGAACTTGGCAACACATTTAGATATGTTTTCCTACTTCCCTCCCTCTCTGATAAGCTAGCTGCTTTCCCAGAAGGCCCCATATCACTGTACCTTCATTTCCACCACCCTTCCCCTATAGTAAACATCAGCCTGTGACAGCCTGGCATGTTAGAAATGACAGTAGGTTTGAAGCGAGCCAGACCTGGGTTTGAGCCTGACTTTCTAGGCATGACACTGTCTGGACTGGAGTCCCAGTATGGCCCCAGTTTCCTTAGGGCTGGGCCATGTCTTGCCTATGCCTTCAGATGGGAAGAAACCAAGGGCTGGGATGCTCTGAGGAGGAAACGTTGAGCACTCAAGGACTGGGGGACGGATGGGAGGGTAGCATGAGCCAGGCATGATGGCCTCTTATCCCTCTCTAGACCGCTGGTCCCAGGAAGATATGCTGACTTTGCTGGAATGCATGAAGAACAACATTCCATCCAATGACAGCTCCAAGTTCAAAACCACCGAATCACATATGGACTGGGAAAAAGTAGCATTTAAAGATTTTTCTGGAGACATGTGCAAGCTCAAATGGGTGGAACTTTCTAATGAGGTAACTGATCCCCCTTTTCTCAAACACATCTCTGCATACCCGTCCCTTGACCTTCCTGATAGGGGAAGTGAAACGACTGTGTAAACAGGAAAGAAAAAGACTAAGAGGGGTGTTCATGTGTGGTCGCCTGTTAGCTCTCTACCTGCCCTTGTGTATTTTGGGTGGTGGCACAGTTGACAGCACTGGCCACCAGAATTGAGTTCTCAGTTCTGCCACTTTCTATCTGGGTGGCCTTGAATACTTACCATCTTGGAGCTTCTGTGCCCTGAGCTGTTCTGGGATTGTGCTGGCATGGCCAACCATGTTGAGGTCAGGCAGTCACCTTGTTGCTGTCCTTTGGTGTGTACTGGCTGCTTGGGCTCTGCAGTGGGCACGGCCCCGTGCCTGGACATTGGGCTGCCTGCGTTGTGTGGCTCTTGGCCTCTGTTCTTCCCCTTTGGTAAATTCAGTCTAGTGCAGAATAGAGGAGACCTGTTGGAAAATGGGGTTATGCTTCTGTGTGGCATTTCCCTCTTCCCAATTTCCCCTTCCACTCCCACGTCTTCCTCCAGGTGAGGAAGTTCCGTACATTGACAGAATTGATCGTGGATGCTCAGGAACATGTTAAAAATCCTTACAAAGGCAAAAAACTCAAGGTGAGTTACCAGAAGAAGGCACATGATGGGTAGAGAAGGAATGGTCCAAAGAATGGATAGTGTCTTACCTCCATTGTGTCCTTGTCCCTTTTTCCAGAAACACCCAGACTTCCCAAAGAAGCCCTTGACTCCTTATTTCCGCTTCTTCATGGAGAAGCGGGCCAAGTATGCGAAACTCCACCCTGAGATGAGCAACCTGGACCTAACCAAGATTCTGTCCAAGAAATACAAGGAGCTTCCGGAGAAGAAGAAGGTGGGGGGAGGGGGGTTAAAGTGGGGGAGGGGAAAGGCTGGGAGCAGCTGGTGTAGTGTGGGTCGGTTGAGGGGCAGGCCTTAGACAGAGGGACTTGGCTTCAGGGTCACGAGTGAATCAGCACAGCAGAGCAGGAGCTTGGGCAGCCACACCTGATCGCCTCCTCCCAGGCCCACACACAGTCAGGCACAGGCACCATCACAGATGGAAATCAAACCAACCTTTCCCCCACAGACAACCCCTAGCATTCTGCTTCATACAGCTCTTCTCCCATACTTGTGTCTTCACTGCCTGCACAGCAGTTCTTCACTGTGTGACATTTCCGTCATGGTCTCATTTGATATTTGCAATGTCCTCATAAAGCTAACCTCAGGAAAAAGGGTTATCCCGATTTTGTGGGCAAAGAACTGAGGTGCAGGAGGGATAAGTGTCTCAGGTCACACAACTAATGATGCTAGAGTAGGACTTAGATTTAGCACCCTGGACTCACAGTCCAGTGCTCTTACAGCCATGTCCACATGTTAAATGGGCTCCCTCTCCCATATACACATGTTCACCCAAGGACACATGTCCCTCCTGGCCTCATGTTGTCCCCTGCAGAGGTGGAGCATTGTCCTAGACCATCAGAGGGCCTTAACCTTGAGCAGAGATTGCCCAAGCCTCCCAGGCAGGGTTGGCCACAGTCAAGCACAGAGCTCAGGAGTCCCTCTCAGAGACAGGCAGCAAAACACCGGAGGAGCCCTGCAGACGGGACAGGAGTAAGAGGGGCTGAGAGAGATCAACACAGAGGAAACGCTGGCCGGTGAGACGGAGCCAGGGCTAGATGTTGGTGAAAGGCAGCGGGAGAGACAAAAAACACATCTGCTTGGAGAGGAAACAAAATTGTACACAGCCAGCTCTCAAAAGGTGGCACCAGCCGCCACACTTTGAGTAGCCCTTTTTCCTGCTTGGAATACCTTGGCTGCAGACTCACATGTCCTTGGTGCTGTACCCAAAAAAGGAGCCAGCTTGCTTGGGTAAAACCAGCTGTCTGCACGACTGCTGCCCATGCCAAGCAGGGGTATGAATTGCTGGAGCTGTTGTTGAGCCCGTGGATGAGGCTGGACAGTTGATTATACACACAACACTCAAAACACTCACGGGATGGGAGGGAGAGCCCAAGAGGCAAAGGGTCTGAGAACCAGAGAAGGCCAGAAGAAACTGGTAGCATGGACAAGGTACTGGCCTGGGGGGGACACAAGACTTGGGCTGACTCTACCACTGAATTGCTGTGGGTGGGGCCTTTGGTAAGTCACTTCAGTTCTCTAGGCCTGGTCTTTATCTGAGTATGGAGGGTGACCAGATCTATGTGGCTGTAAAAACTGCTGTTTTATCTGAGGACTGAGATTGGGGCAGAGGAGGCTGGGCCCTGCTCCTGGCTTTCTGTGGGAACCACAGGGGAAAGTGGAACTGCTTCTCTACGACTGGGGTCTCTTCTGTGATGGGCAGGGGTTGGGTTTAGCTGCTGTGAGCCCCTGGCACCTTCCAGTGCCACTCTTGTGAACCTCCAGGGGAAAAAGAAGGGATAGATGTTGAGTGGGAGCCAGGACAGGAGGTGGATGAGGAAGGGGAAGAGACTGGAAGGAGGATATGGAGAGGTAGGAAAGATGCAGGGAGGGAGTCAGGTGGGGGTGGGAAGGGAGGGTGAGGCTGAGAGAGCAGGGGCTGGAGAAGGGAAGGGAAGCCAGGTGGCAGAAGAGAATGAGTGGGCTGAGGGAGGGAGGGCTGCAGGAGCTGGAAAATACGATTGGAGGCAGGGAAGAAAGTGATGGTGTCAGAATTGGGAAGGAATGGAAAGGGCAGCTGGAGACCCAGAACTTGAAGAGACAGGATGCCATTTCAAAACATTGTAAGACTTCACTTTGAGTTCCCCTTGACACAGTCTCCCCTCATGCCTTGGAAGCCTTGGACTCCCCTCATGCCTTGGACTCGGCCTGCCCTTGCCCTGTGGGCCACCTCCGAGGGGGCAGACCAGTATCAGCTGCCACAGACAATGGGAAGAGGGAGCAAGAAGGACAAAGCCTACCCGTCTCCTCATTGTGGGAGTTCCAGCCCTGACACTTCCCACTGTGTGGCTGTGGGTGATGCCGTGTCCCTTTGTGGGACTCTCCCTCCTAAAAGGAGAGAATGGGACGCAGGATTGAGTGAGAGACCCCTGTGGCTCACCCTGTCTGTTTATAAGCCAACAGGTCTGGTCTGTGGCCCCCATCCCACTGGGAGGGAGGCTACCATCCTCCACTCCCCCCAAGTCACAGAGTGGGGGCAAAAGAGCTGGTGTGCAGGGCTCTAGGTAGCTTTTGTAGCTCAGGCTGAGGTAGGCCTTGGGTCCCGGATGACCCCGTCCCCTCCTTCCCCCCAGATGAAATATATTCAGGACTTCCAGAGGGAGAAACAGGAGTTCGAGCGAAACCTGGCCCGATTCAGGTAAGGCAGTGGATCCCAGAGGAGGGCCGTGGGGCGCTGTGTGTGACAGGATAGGCTAACCCTGGGCAGAGCCTGGAGCTTGCCAGCTGTGGGGCATGGAAGATGGATGGGCCATGTGTGGATCCCAGTGTGTCAGGGCCAGGGGTAGACAGGGAGGCTTGGGGGCTTGGGAGGACAGCTAGCTTGGGTTTGACGTGGCAGCGTCCCCTGCTGACTCTCATTCCCCGTGCCCTGGCTAGAGAGGATCACCCTGACTTAATTCAGAACGCCAAGAAGTCGGACATCCCTGAGAAGCCCAAAACCCCCCAGCAGCTGTGGTACACTCATGAGAAGAAGGTGTATCTCAAAGTTCGGCCAGATGTGAGTGTCTGGCCAAGGTTGGGGGCGGAGGGCGCACGGTGGTGGCAAGGGGGGAGCCGCGTCAGGTCGGCCGGGCATGGTGCAGGGGAGCAGGAGAGGAGGCCCCTCCCCAGGGGTGGGCTGCATGGACAGGGCCTGGGCCAGCTGGCGTGCGAGCGTGTGTGTGCGTGCGTGCGTGTATGAGCCTGTCCCCTTGCACCCAGGCGGGATCCCCGCCTCTCCGTCTTCCCTTCCTGGCCTGTGGGGGACACTGGTGTGACCTCCTGTGGCCTGAGGGGGCGGGGGGCCTCTGTGCCCCCCACCCCCCTCCCCTTTCCCCTGGCTGCCTGTGTGTGTCTGACGGCTTTTGGTTTGCAGGCCACTACGAAGGAGGTGAAGGACTCCCTGGGGAAGCAGTGGTCTCAGCTCTCGGACAAAAAGAGGCTGAAATGGATTCATAAGGCCCTGGAGCAGCGGAAGGAGTACGAGGTTAGGCTTCCGCTGCGCTCCTCCCCATCCGGCTCTTCACGAGCTTCTGCCCTCTGACTCCGTGGCCACCGCACTCTGCAGGAGGCGTCACTCCCCATCTCTCCATCGGGGGAGGGGCCTTCTGGGCCCCTCACCTCTGCCCCTACCTTCCCCACCCCCACCCCCATGAGATCTCAGGCTAGGGCAGGGCAGGGCATCATGTCCCGTGTGGCACACTGACACACGGCCACCCCCAGCTTTGCTCCCTGCCCCCCCTCCCCAGCGGCTCTCCCCCTGCCCCTCCCCTGGCTAATCCCACACCCCGTTGCCCTCCACCCCCACCTCACTCTGCAGGAGATAATGCGGGACTATATCCAGAAGCACCCCGAGCTGAACATCAGCGAGGAGGGCATCACCAAGTCCACCCTCACCAAGGCTGAACGCCAGCTCAAGGATAAGTTTGACGGGCGACCCACCAAGCCACCTCCGTGAGCGCTTCCCTGGGGTGGGTGGGCAAGTGGGTAGCTGGGGGGGAGGTGGGCCAGGCTCTGCGGGTGAGGAGGCCCATTGCCCTGCTTGCTCAGGGGCTGCACCTCCCTTCCCGCTGGCTCTGATAGGAACAGCTACTCGCTGTACTGCGCAGAGCTCATGGCCAACATGAAGGACGTGCCCAGCACGGAGCGCATGGTGCTGTGCAGCCAGCAGTGGAAACTGCTCTCCCAGAAAGAGAAGGACGCCTACCACAAGAAGTGCGACCAGGTGAGCTGTGGCAGGGGCTACCCGCTTCAGACCCATCTTGGGTGTATGAAGCATGAGGTCTGACTCCAACTAGGGTCAGCCAGTCATTGGTGGCATGTGCGCCTTGGGCACCTCGTTCCAGCTGAGTGTTGGGCTGGGCTTAGCCTGTGGGCCTGCAAGACAGACAGCCCAGACGTCATGCTTACCTCTGTGGAGGCAGCCACAGCTGCACCCAGGCTCCAGAGGCCTCCGCGTACTGCAGAATCTCTGCTGAGGCTGTCCCTAGACTGACCCCGACTCCTCTCACTTTCCAGAAAAAGAAAGATTACGAGGTGGAACTGCTCCGTTTTCTCGAGGTAAGTGTTCCTCCGGTGGGGCAGTGGGCAGAGAGGACTGGAGCTTGGCAGGCAAAGCCCTTAGGAGCCCCTGACAGGGTAGGATGCAGCCTGGCAGCCAGGCCTGCAGCCCGCGCTCCTCTCCCCCGACCAGAGCCTGCCTGAGGAGGAGCAGCAGCGGGTCCTGGGGGAGGAGAAGATGCTGAACATCAACAAGAAGCAAGCCACCAGCCCGGCCTCTAAGAAGCCAGCCCAGGAAGGGAGCAAGGTGAGCAGGGGGCCTGTGCACAGGTGGGCTGAGGAAGGCGGGCTCCCTGACCACCCTGTGGACCCCGACCCTGACCCTCTCTGCCCCCTGACAGGGCGGCTCGGAGAAGCCTAAGCGGCCCGTGTCGGCCATGTTCATCTTCTCTGAGGAGAAGCGGCGGCAGCTGCAGGAGGAGCGGCCTGAGCTCTCGGAGAGCGAGCTGACCCGCCTGCTGGCCCGAATGTGGAACGACTTGTCCGAGAAGAAGAAGGTCAGGCTTGCCTTGGAGAGCCCCCGGGGGCTGCCAGGGCCACTTCCTCCCCACGGGCCTGGCCGGGCCGCCGCAGCCCTGCCTGGGTGCCCACGCGGTGCCTGGGCTCAGATGGTGGGGCCGGGAGCCCAGCCAGCAGGAAGGCGGGAAGCTGTCAGCTGAGGGCTGCTGGCTCCCTGGGGAGCAGGGCCTTGGGCGGGGGCTGAGCCCCAGGCGGGAGACATCTGCACCAGCCCACGCCGCTAAGCCCCACCCTTCAGCCCTTCCAGCCCGGGAGCCTCCGCGGCTGGACGGGGCGCGCGCGCCCCCTGGGGGTGGCCGGAAGGCTGACGCCGGGCCATCCCCACAGGCCAAGTACAAGGCCCGAGAGGCGGCGCTGAAGGCGCAGTCGGAGAGGAAGCCTGGCGGGGAGCGCGAGGAACGTGGCAAGCTGCCCGAGTCGCCCAAGAGAGCCGAGGAGATCTGGCAGCAGAGCGTCATCGGCGACTACCTGGCCCGCTTCAAGGTGGCAGGGCGTGGGAAAGGGGTAGTAACTGCAGCCTCCAGCCCTAGGTGACCCCTCCCTCAGCTGATACCCATGTCTCCCCAGAATGACCGGGTGAAAGCCTTAAAAGCCATGGAGATGACCTGGAATAACATGGAGAAAAAGGAGAAACTAATGTGGATTAAGAAGGCAGCTGAAGACCAAAAGCGATATGAGGTGGGAAGGTGGCTGGGGCCACCCACTCCACCCAAAACTTAGAGATTCCCCTTTGGGTGGGCAGCTCTCCTCACTGTGTGAGGCTCTGAGCCAGAAGTCCCAGCCTCGGTTGTGTGATCCTGAGCAAGTCTCCTAATTTACTACTCTGAGCCTCTGTTTCTCATCAGTGAGATGGGGGTGACAACGTCAGTACAGTTATGAAAGCACTTTTAAATTGCAGGGCCTCCAGCCTGAACAACATAGCGAGACCCCCATCTCTACAAAAAATTTAAAACTTAGCTGGGCATGGTGGCACATGCTTGTAGTCCCAGCTACTCCAAAGGCAGAGGCTGAGGTAGGAGTTTGAGGTTACAGTGAGCTATGATGACACCACTGCACTCCAGCCCTGGTGACAAAGCAAGATCCTGTCCCCTCCCCCCCCCCAAAAAAAAACCTGGAGGGCCTGACACAGATGTGAGTTGTTAGGAAGTTGCTCCCTGGCTGTGCCTGTTTCCCCTCCCTGTCACACAAAAGCAGAGCCAACTAAGGCGCTGGTGGCATGAGGCAGAAGGCAGCAGTATTTCAGGGGTAGGGGAGGGCAGTGAATGTGACCTCTCTGGGTTTCCCCACAGAGAGAGCTGAGTGAGATGCGGGCACCTCCGGCTGCTACAAACTCTTCGAAGAAGATGAAGTTTCAGGGAGAACCCAAGAAGCCTCCCATGTGAGCCTGGGAGCTGGAGCCTGCCCTGGGGATGGGGGTGTCAGTGCTGGAGAGCTGCTCTGTTGGGGTCCTGACCCACCCTATACCACCCTCACCTCCCAGGAACGGTTACCAGAAGTTCTCCCAGGAGCTCTTGTCCAACGGGGAGCTGAACCACCTGCCACTGAAGGAGCGCATGGTGGAGATCGGCAGCCGCTGGCAGCGCATCTCTCAGAGCCAGAAGGAGCACTACAAAAAGCTGGCGGAGGAGCAACAAAAGCAGTACAAGGTGCACCTGGACCTCTGGGTCAAGGTGAGAGGGCGAGGGACCCTTGGAAGAGGGAGGCATTGTCCTGGTTGGTCCTCATTCGTGATTTTATTCAGTGTCTGAACAGTCCAATAGGGTAACAGTTACTGTCACCCTTTTAAAGCTAAGGAAATTGAGGCTCAGAGAAGTTAAGTAACTTGCCTGAGGTCACAGAGTAAGAAGGAAAACCCAAATCAGACTGCCTTTTCCTCCCTCGAGCTGGGACCAGGGAACCTCTCCTGGACTCTGGCTTGGTGCCTTGGTTGAGCAGTCAGATCTGTAAATGGGGAGAATCACCTGTGTCTTCCCCATCTACCCGGGCAGGTTGGCCAAGGACCCAGGGAAATAGTGGGGATTAGGTGTTCCAGAAGTTTGGTGAACCTCACTGCCTTACCAGTGCTTGAGGGCTTGATGTTGGAGTAGGGTTGATGATGCCAGGGTATCTGAGTCGTCACAGGGGGACTTCTCTGAGGTGAGGAAGGTCCTAACTGGAGCCTCCATCTGGGTAGAGCAACAGGAGGAACATGAAAACCAACAGTGTTGCTACAGGATTGGTTAAAGGAGGATTCAGGGCATCGGAAGCACAAATACTGAAGCTGTGTTCTCAGGTCCCAGGGGTTCTCTGCAGAGACTCAAAATCTGCGGGAGCCTGGGAGTGGTAAAGATGGGGTGATGATGTGTGCATGCTCAGCCCGCCGTCCTGCACTGGGTCAGCAGGCTCGATTGGCAACCCTTACCTCCTCCTCTTGCCTCCCCCAGAGTCTGTCTCCCCAGGACCGTGCAGCATACAAAGAGTACATCTCCAATGTGAGTCCGGGAGCAGGGCAGCGGTGGGGTGGGAGACTCGAGGGTCTCGGACGTCTAGGACTCATGGCTGCCCCCTTTATGTCCCCATCCTCCCCTGCAGAAACGTAAGAGTATGACCAAGTTGCGAGGCCCGAACCCCAAGTCCAGTCGGACTACCCTGCAGTCCAAGTCGGTAAGGAGCCCCTCCCAGACGGGGGGCGGGGTGGGTGCCTAGAGTGGTGGGACAGACCACTGATGTGCCTCCATCCCTCCAAGGAGTCTGAGGAGGATGATGAAGAGGATGAGGATGATGAGGATGAGGATGAAGAAGAGGAAGATGATGAGAATGGGGACTCCTCTGAGGATGGCGGGGACTCCTCCGAGTCTAGCAGCGAGGACGAGAGCGAGGATGGGGATGAGGTGGGGCAGACAGGGCATGGTGGGAGGGAAGGGTTGGGTCCTTCAAGGAGGGCCACCTGGTGACTGCACATCTTTCTCCCCCCAGAATGAGGAGGATGACGAGGATGAGGATGATGACGAGGACGATGATGAGGATGAAGACAATGAGTCCGAGGGCAGCAGCTCCAGCTCCTCCTCTTCAGGGGACTCCTCAGACTCTGACTCCAACTGAGGCTCAGCCCACCCAGGGCAGGCAGGGAGAGCCCAGGAGCTCCCCTCCCCAACTGACCACCTTTGTTTCTCCCCCATGTTTTGTCCCCTGCCCCCTGGCCTCCCCCACTTTCTTTCTTTCTTTTTTTTTTTAAAAAACAAAATACGGTGGGGGTAGGGAGCTGGAAGAGCCCAGGCCAGGACTCTACAGCCTCAAGAGACATCAACCCTGGGGAGGTCCTCCAGGGAGAGCATCCATCAGACTGAGCCAGCACTGGACCGGACCGGCCCACCCCACCCACTTCTGCACTTGCGGTTCCGGCATGGACAATGGACCGGGGAGTGGGGGTGGGAGGTCCCAATGAGTTCAAGGAGGCCCTCCACACCTGCAGTCCAACCCAAAGTGGGGTGGAAGCTTGGGGACAACCCCTTCCTTCCCAGAGGGGCTTGCCACCTGGACCCCTGCATTGGAACTGAAGGCAGGGAACATGTGGGAAGAGGAGGGCAGGTGCCTTTGAGAAAACAGGCACTGCCCTGATGGCCCTCTCCCCTGCCCCCTGCAGGAAGGAGCTGCCTGGACCCACTCATGGGGGAGGGGGCAGAAGTGTTTTTTATATATGTGTATATATATTTTTTTTTTAAGCTCTGAGCTGTCAACGAGACGTTTCCTACCGATCTCGGCTGCCGTCTCTGTTGTCATTTCTGGGAGAGGGAGGGTTTAGGGGGTAGGTTTGGGACTTTTTAAAAATGGTCTTGAGGCGCGTGGAAGAGAGAGTGAGTGTGTGTGTGCGCGCGCGTGTGTGTCCTGTACATAGAATGGGTGCTCCTGTGGATGTGTGCAAGTGCGTGTGTGGAAGGGGGTCTGTCCTGGAGCCCACCTCGGTTTTTGTGAATCTGGATAAAGGGTTCGTGAGGGCCAGGGAGGTGTTGACCCTGGTGGGAACAGGCTGAGGCTGCCCCTTTCTCCATATCCTCTGCTTTGCCTAGTCTCTGATCCCATTTTGGGAAGTGTACTGAAGCCATTTTCCGATGCTTCCTAGACCAGTTTCCCTCTGCCAGGGTCATAGGCATCTGAGCTGTGCTGGTCTCTGTCCAGCAGGAAGGGGGACGAGGGGGAGGATGGTGTGAACCTTAAAGCTTTTATCTGGGTGGAAAAGGCCTCCCCAGCTCATCTGAGGGGTCAGCCTGGCCAACCTAGGCTCAGAACCTCGGCTTCAAGAAATGTGTTGGGGGCTCTTAACACATCCCTCTGCCTTCCCCATGTCCTCCAGCTGCCCCCATTTCCTTTGATTTCTCAGGTCTGCTCCCTCCTCCCCCAACCTCGCAGCTGAGGAAGTCTGCAAAAGCTGCTTCTGCAGCTGTCTCTGTAACCCTTCCCAGCGATCTCAAATTTTGTGGTACCCTGATTCCTTGACTCTTAATAAGCCAAGCCACCTTATCTCTGTGGACTTAATTTTTTTGTTGACTAAATTTAGGGGTTTCTTTTTTTGTTTGTTTTTACAATCATGTCTGTGACCTACTGGGCCTTTGTGCTTTTCCACCTTCCCCCTCTGAATGAAAGCCAAGGACTGGGGGAAGAGTGGGGACTCTGCGGAGGAGGTGGGGCTGGTGAGGGGCCTCAGCCCCAAAGAGGCCTGGTGGGTCCCTCTCCCAAAAGAAGGCAGAGACAGCCTCTGCTTTGCCTTGGACTGTGGTGCTGGAGGTGGGGGGACACTCCCCACTCCCACTCCCCTTCCTTTGTCCTGATCCTGGAATCAGGTACAGGGGTTTACAGGTTCTATTTCTTCCCGAGAGCCCCTGCAAAGAACCCCATTTTCTTGTTTGAATGCCCCTGCAATGTTGTGTTTTAGTGGAATGTGTTTTCATTTAAAAACAACTTTGAATGGGGCACTTTTTTTTTCCTGTTTTAAAAATTGAAAAATTCTTACAGTACAAACAGGGCTGTGGGGGTGGCGGTGTTGGTGCTGTAAGAGGTCACTCTGAGTGCATTTTGGCACTGGGATGGAATGGCTGGGGTGGGAGGACCCCCCTTCCCCATTTTTTTTTTCTAATATTTAAGGAGTGTTTTGTAGGTTTCAACAACAACCACAACTTGAATTTGTATCATGGGAGGTGGGAGGGAGTGGCTTAGAGTTGTCTGCCTAAGCTTAAGGCCAACTGTGGAAGTTTTGTTTTCCCTTTTTTTGTACAATAAAGTGAAAAACAAAGGTTTGACTGCTGTCTGGTCACTGGAATCAATGAAGGTGGGGGCAGGGGTGACCCAACAGGTTTGATGTGGAAAGGCCCTTGAAACCAGCTTGTCTGCCCTTTCTTTCTAGAACTATCTTCCTTTTCGCTAAAGATTCCATAGGCAACCTACCTTCACAATGATCTCTGCTACTGTTCTTGCACTGTCTCAATTCAGTTTGTTCACTGTGGGTTGTCAGACCACTAAGGACTCTGCAAAGTTGGAGAACAGATGCATTTTCACCCAGAAGGCATTGCCTTGGGGAACTAGGGGGGATGAGCTGTTAGGGTCAAGGGTTCACCCTGATCATACAAGCCCTCCTAGTGTAGGGCTTGTCATGGGGAGTGGCGGGGAGCCCCCTACTTTGAGCCCTCAGCTCTATCCACGGTTAGGGATGACTTTCCTCTGCAGTTAAGGAAGACAGCCTTCCCTGCAAAGCCCTTGGCTGGGTTCCTAGAACCTGAAGGGGTGAAGAAGACCCAGGCCCCGTCCTAGAGCTCCCTCTCAACACCCACCCCCTCCTATTCCTGCCCAAACTTCTAAAAACCTCTTTGCCCCTCATGATCTCCCATTTGCTTACCTCCTACTCAACCATTCCCCTGAGGCTCCTCTCTCAGGACACCAACATGTTCATCATTACACCCAGTGGATACTGTCTCTTGCCTTCTTGGTCTACTTTACTGATGTCAGCTGTTCCTCCTCATTTTATCCTCCATGTTCATGACTCTCCCCCAAACCTCCAGTTATCACCCATAGGAAACCATTCTAAAAGGTGCTATCTGCAGAGACCGCTATTCCAGCTGTAGACCTGGGTAGACACTGTGCATCCTCTGAGATCTTGTAGGCACCTCATACCTCAAGATGCAGAATGATCACCAGCTGTTTAGTCACTCAACCTAGAAACCAGGGTGTCAGCCTTGACTCCTCTCTCTCGCTTCCATGTTTAATTGATCACCTCGACCTACCCATTCCACTTTCTAAATCTCTCTCATTCCACTTTCTAAGTCTCTCTCAAATCTGTCCACCCTTCCCCACAGCTGCCACTTCCATCCAATTCAAGGCCATCACCATCGCTCGCCTTCTGCAAAGACCTCCTAAAACTGGCCTTCCTGCTTGCACTCTTGCCCCTACAGTCTATTCTTCATATAGCAGCCAACACTGTCTTAAAAATAAATCTGATTATTTCTGTACTTAAAATTTACCATGTCCTACCATGGTCCTACAAGGCCTGGCCCCAGCAGCCAGGCAGAGAGAACATCATCTTTCTCCCTACTCTTCCTAACACTCACAGTGACCCACCCAAGTGATCACTCTTCTGGTTCCTCAAACATGCCTACCACAGGGCCTCTGCATTTGTTCTCTCTGCCTGGGATGGCTACTCCTCCAACTCTATACATACTTGGTTTTTCATTCTTCAGACTTCAGCTCAAATGTCACCCACAGAGAGGCCTTTCCCAACCACCCTCTCTAGAGAGGCCTCCTGCTACATCTATGTCTCCTTGTTCATGTATTTGTTTACTTGTTTATTGTCTCCCCAAGTAGAAGACACCTTACCTACCTGTTCATTACTGTAATCCCAGCATCTGAAACTGCCTGGTATACATTTGACACCCAAGAAACATTTGCTCAATGAGTGAATAAGTATGGCCCACAAGGGCCTAGGGGATCTGCTGCCCCTGCCGGCCTCTGTGCCCCAACTCCCGCCACACCAGCTACCCATTTTTCAAACTTACCGTGCTTTCTTCCAGGGTCTGCACATACGGTGTTCTCTCTGCCTAGTTAATTCAGGGCTCCACTTAAAAGGTCACTTCTTCCAGGGAGCCTTCCCTGAACCCCTGACAAAAAACGACTCCATGCTACATTTCTTCAGCAGCCCAGATGCCTTCACACTCAGATTGGTTTCTTTCACATGAGGCTTTACTGGGCTGTAAGATCCCCTAAGACAAGGTCTGTGTGTCTTTCTTGCTTGTTGCTGTAACCCCAGGGCCTCACCCAGAACCAGGACCAGCTCAGGCCCTAGTGTTTATTAACTGGTGCTAACTGTGCAGAGTGGGCACGTGCCCAAAGAGGTCACCACCACAGAGCAGCCCAGACCAAGTACCAAATGAACAGTACAGTTCAGCTGTAAAGAAGTTTGGTATGAGGATGGCCACGGGTGGGGATACGAGGAAGGATTTAGGTAAACAGGGAGGAGCCAGGAGGGTTTTCTGGGCATGTGCAAATTCCTTAGGGTAGATGTACTGGGCATATTTAGGTAAGAAACAGGTCAGCATCATTGGAGTGGAGAATGCCTGAAAAGGAGGTGGGAAATAAGAGGAAAGGAAGGCTGAGGCCACCCTGTAGAAGTTCCTGAAAGCCTGCCTTATTTCTTTGCTCCAGACCCAAGTTCAACCACCTTTTGAGAATCGCTATCAGCTGATCCCACAGTAACCCCAATATATCCTAAACTGAACTTGTCACCCTCCTGTATCTTCCCATGTCCTTCTCAGAGTTCCCCATCCTGGTTAAAGGTGTTTTCAGGGCCTCCCACTCCTTTACTCCACGGAGCGCAGTAACAGAAACCTACTCCTAAAGCATTCTCCAGACTCCACACTGGAGTGATCTAAAAATGCAAGTCTGCTCAGACAATTCCCCTTGAGGACTCCTCACTGCCTGTAAGATTAAAGCCCACAAACTTCTCAGCACCTGTATGATCTGGCCTGCTCACCTCCTGCTGCTCCAACACCCATTCCTGTTCCAGCCAGTTCCCAGCCTGATCTATATTTCCAAAGCTCACCTTCAGGGATCTCTAATGCCTTCCTGGCCTACGTTGACCTGGTTCCTCTCTCCCTACAAGAAGCCTTTCCTGACCAATTCTCTCATATCATTCGAAGCCTCCTCCTGGCCACCACCTCTTTACTCTGCATCTCTCTCTTGTTTTTATCACACTGGCAATTATTATCCTACAGGTCTGTCTACCTTACAAGACTGTAACCTTCTTGAAGAAGTCTTATTTCATCTTTGTATGCCAGCACATGGAGCACCGTAAGAATAACAGCTAAAATTTACCAAGCACTTACAAAGAGCGAAGAGTTTCACATGCACTGACTTGTTTATCATCACAACCACCTAATGAGATAGGCACTATCATTACACCCACTGACAATGGAAGAAACTGAGGCACAGGGAGTTAGTTCATTTCCCAAGTCCACCGATTGAAATTCAGATCTGACTCCTGGTCTTAACTACTTCAGAAAATTGCCTCAATACATTTCTCAGGAGAAGCCAGTGAAAAGAAATAAATTAATAAATGCTGAAAACTAAAGAGCCAATATGGTCCCAAAGTATGTGATTTCAGATTATCCTCCTGCAACCTTATCTCCTGAGGGGAGAAGGCTGTCACACTACAGTTCCAGGAACCCAGACACAGAGGGTAACCGAGATGGAAACGCCAGTCTAGGCATCTACTATGGCTGGGAAAAGGCCTCTTCCTCCAGAAGGTAAACGGGGACTGAGAGCGTGTGGATATAGGTACACTCAGGGAAGGGGCACTGACTCGGGGGGAAGGGTCTGGGCAGTGCCAAGCAGGCTGTCTGAGAGGTAGGGGGTCCAGCGTGGGTTCCGGAAGCAGGAAAGGCGAGCAGGTGTGGGATCTAAATTAGGATGAGGGCGGGGAGGGTGCTTGCTCAGAAGGGCGAAGCCGGGCCTCCGCCTTCAGCAGTGGACCCTCAACTCGGGCGCTTGTTGGTTCTCAGGCCTGGAGTGGGCTGAGACCCGCCCAGAAACCGGGAGAACGGAGGCGCGGACGAGCCCCTTCGGTTCCACGGGTTTTCCGCCCTGAGGTCCTAACTGCGCCCCACTTCAAGTCTGGCCTCTTCACAGAAGTGGCTGCACGCCTCGGGGTAAAAGGGGGAGCGGAGGGAGGAGGGAAGAGCAGGGAGCCCCGAGGGAAGGGCGGGGGAGCCTGGGCCGGAAGGCGTCCCAGGCTGGGCTGGGAGCCGGCGCTCTCTTTCGACGCCACCCGCTGCCCCCGCCCCCGAGCCGGCCGGGACGGCACAGCGTCTCCGCCCCCAGCGCACCGCGCACCTCACCTTGAACGCCGCTCCACCCACTCCCATCCTATTGGGCCTCCCGGGACGAGACGACGCGGCGATTGGCCGGGGTGGTACACGAAGGCCCCGCCCATCTCTCCGCCCCCGTCCCCGTCCGCCGGTACTTTGGACGGCGGCGTGGCGCCCCTCCTCCCCTCCCGGTCCCCGCCCCCTGGAGCAAATGCTGCCGAGCTGCGGCCGCGGGGCAGATGCACGCGCTCGGGCCCTTCTAGCAGGCGCGAGCAGTCGCTGGGCGCGCGAAAGCGAAAGAAGGAAGAGGAAGGGAGGGCGAGGGCGGGGTGTTGAGGAGGGGCGGGAGGAGGAAGAGGAGGAGGTTGGAGCGCGCTCGCGCTTGGCCCCGCGCCCGCGCGGAGGGAGGGGGAGAGGGGCGCGCGCGCGCACGTTCGCGTTCTCGCTCGCTCCATCCATCCATCCTCCGGTCGCGGCACGCGCGCGCGCTCCGGGCTCGCGCCGCACCCCCCGCCCGGGAGAGGCGGGCTGGAGTGGGGGGCGGGGGGAGGGGCGCGCGGACGGCGCGCGGACTGCGCGCGGGCGGGGTGAGGTGAGGAGGAGGAGGCGGCGACGGGACGAGAAGGGAGGGGAAGGGGCCATGGCCGCCCGGTGAGGCGGCGAGGCGGGGGGGCGGCCCGACCCCCCGGCCCCGGGCCCTGGGTCCCGGGGAGAGGCGAGGACGGACCGACGGACATGGGGCTCCGGAGCAGCCGCCGCCGCCGCCGCCGCCGGAGGACGCGGCCCTAAGAGGCCGCCGGGCCCCGGCGCGGCCCCCCGGGCGGGGTGAGTACGGACGGAGACGGGGACGGAGGAGGGGCCTGCGGGGGGCGGGGGGCGGGGCCCGAGGCGGGGCTTGAGCCCCCTCCCCCCAGGTCTGGGTCAGCGCCCCTTCCCCTCCCCCCGGACCGACGCGGAAACGCCCGGCTTCCCCCAGCTTCCCGGCCCGGCCGGGGCCCCCTGCTCTCCCCCGTCTGGGTCCCCCTTGGGCGGGGCAGGGCCGGCCGGGGAGGGGGCGCGGGGCCTTTGTTAGGGAGCCAGGCCCCAGCCCCCGGGACAATAGAGACACCCTCCCGGACTCCTCTCCCCGGCCGGCCGGGGCTGTTGGCGGGCGAGGAAGGAGAGGGGCCGGGACGCGTCCCACTCTGCCCACTCTCTGGGGGTCGGTCTGTCCCGGACCGGCGCCGGCCTCCGGTGGCTCAGCTCTCCTCCCCCCAGTCGGTATGATGCAGCAGCAGTGCCGCAGGGACGGGGGAAGAGCCGAGGCCCGGCCTCCTACCCTTCCCAGTGCCCCTGGCTCATTTGTCAGTCCCCACCCCACTCTAGGCCGGCAGCTCCTTAAACTCGTACCCACCGTTCAGAGGGGCACTGGACTGTGGGTGCTGTTTCTGAATCCTTTGGTGGGGGTTCCTGGACTTTGGGGCTCTTGGAGAGACTTCCGGGCTGGTCCTGAGGGAGGGAGGGTGGTTATCTAAAGGAAGAACAGGTAAGGGAAGTCCCCGCTCCTGGCATGCCATTCCACTGGGCTGTGTCCCCTCTTGCTCATGGTGGCTAGAAATGTCCCTTAGCTCTAGGCTTCTGTGGGCTCTGCTCCCCTCGTGGAGTGGCAGGCTTATTTCAAAGGAAGACAGAGTAGGGTGAAGGTGGTAGGGTCCTAGGGCCATTCCTACTTCTGGTAGCAGTACCCCCCCAAGTGGACATCCTGGCTGAAAGCAGAGGTGACTCTGAGGAGAGCCTTTAGGGAAGGGGGGGGTGTATTTAGGAGTCTGTGCAGTTCTTTGCCACACCCTGTGGGTTTGCTTTGAGGCCTTAGAGTTCCTTCTCCTCCCCCTGCTGCATTGCACCATGGGTATCAAAGAGGGGTTTGAGTTTTGGGGACCTGGGGTGAGCTGCTGCCTCCTATAGACCCAGACTCTGATTGGCAATAGAGTCCAGGGCCTGAGCTCCGGCCTGGGAAAGACTAGGCCACCTTTAGGTTTCAGGCCCTGAAGGACCATCCAGACTTAGTGAGCCTGGGCCTTGGGGAGGGAGATACCCTGATGCCAGGATATCTGGGCAGCTAGGTGGGGAGGGGAGGGGGCAGTCTTTAGAGGTGCCTTGGACTCACACCAACACCCCCCCACAATGTGTGCAGCCGAGTTGCCGCCCGCTGTGCTATGAGCAGTCAGAGCGCCGTCTCCACAAGAGTTTACAAATGAAAATGGAGGAAATGTCTTTGTCTGGCCTGGATAACAGCAAACTAGAGGTGAGGGCTCCCCCACGTGTGCCTCTAGTTCTTTCTCTTGATGTCTCTACGTCGCTATATCTGGCATCCACACCAAGGAGGAATTTGGGTAATCAGCCTTGTTCCTTAAAGGGAATAGCCAGCTGAAAAGGCCCATGGATCCGGGAAGAAGAAAGAACACAAAGTCAAGATGGGGAAAATGGCAAAGAAAGCATGATTTTTTGGCTGGGGCCAGTTGGCAGGAGATTTAGTTGGTGAGAATTGCTATCAGTCCAGGAGGCTGTGACTCTTGTGACCGTGGATGTTCTCCCCTGGGGCCCAGGCCATCGCTCAGGAGATATACGCGGACCTGGTCGAGGATTCTTGTTTGGGATTCTGCTTTGAGGTACACCGGGCTGTCAAGTGTGGCTACTTCTTCCTGGACGACACGGACCCTGATAGCATGAAGGATTTTGGTGAGCTTCAGGGAGAAGGAGAGCAGTCTAACCCTGCCCTGGGAGTGCTTCGCATTTCCTTCCCTGGAAACCACTAGATGTAGATCCTGGAGCTCCTGTGAGCCTGGGTAGGGGGGTTGAAGAAGCCACGGGAACAAGAGAAGAGGGTCCCCTGCCTGCCCTGATCGCCACGCCTCTCCTGTCCCCAGAGATCGTGGACCAGCCGGGGTTGGACATCTTTGGACAGGTTTTCAACCAGTGGAAGAGCAAGGAGTGTGTTTGCCCCAACTGCAGCCGCAGCATTGCCGCCTCCCGCTTTGCTCCTCATCTGGAGAAGTGCCTGGGAATGGGTCGGAACAGCAGCCGAATCGCCAACCGCCGGTGAGGGCCATTCCCCCTGCTGGAACCAGAGCTGCTCATCTTCTGCAGCCTGTGCCATGGTGTAGTCCCCTGGGGGCATCGGTAGGGGACAGAGGGTTGTACTTGTTCCCACATGCTCCATATACCTTGAAGTTGGGGGTGGAGAGGGTGGCAGCTTTGACCCTTTTTCTTCCCTACCCTTGGCAGGATTGCCAATAGCAACAATATGAACAAGTCTGAGAGTGACCAAGAGGATAACGATGACATCAATGACAACGATTGGTCCTATGGCTCAGAGAAGAAAGGTGTTTGGGGATCTGGGGAAACTGGGGGACGTTGGGATGAGGTGGGCAAACAGGAATAGGGTATACAGTGGTCACAAGCTGTTGCCTTGAACAATGGAGGGAAAGTATAGTTGTATACTTTTCTTTAGATGTCCTTACTCCTTATTTTGGGAACTTAAAGTAACCCTGCTCTTTATCCTTTTGTTCCCCACAGCCAAGAAGAGAAAATCAGACAAGGTGAGAGCCGGGCAAGCATGGGGGAAATTTGGGCAAAGGACAGATACCCTCCCTTTTGGGGAGGGAGTCCTTGGGTGTCTTGACTCAAGTCTGAGGTCATTGGGGGCCTCTGGGTTTTGGGATGAGGGTGTGTGTGGTGGGCAGGGGGGCAGCAGAGGCCTTGGGGGAGTGGGGAAGGGAATATGGGTAGATAGGCCTCTTACCGGGGAGGAAGAGCAGGAATTTGAGGATGTTTCTTTGTCAAATCTTTTTTCCTTCCCTGGGTTCTCGGCTCCCCCTTATCGTTACCCTTTCCCCAAAGCTATGGTATCTCCCATTCCAGAACCCCAATTCCCCTCGAAGATCCAAGTCTTTAAAACACAAAAATGGTAAGTGGGGCTGGAACAATGGGAGTGCTTCTAGCTGTGTCTTCTAGGACTCATTGTGGGGGGAGGGGGGCAGGAGGGTGGAGGGTGGGGGCCTGGGGATGGGGTGTTGAGGGAGGGCCTGTGATCCTTCTGTCACCCCCACTTCCTCTCTGGTTATTTTCAGGGTTCTCTGTCTGTACCTCTGCATCAAACACCCTTCCCCTTCTTTTTTCTTCTTCAGGGGAACTTAGCAATTCGGATCCTTTTAAGGTGAGTATAGGTTGCCCCTCTTATGTTCCTCTCATTGTCCATGTTGTGAGTTTGTTGGGATTTGGACAAGTGGGGATCAGAATGCTGACAAGCCAGAAGCAGTAGATGAGCTATTTGGGTCTTGTATATTTATGTTCTTTCTGGGTCCCACCCCCTCACCATGTGCAGGTGGGATGAAAGGAATCACTTGGGAAACTGCTGGGTCATCCCAAAGCACCTCACTTAGAAAGGCACTAGAGGGATTGATTCTCCACCACCCCTTGCACCCCCTTTTTTGTCTGCCCTTCTCTAACCTGTACCTCTGGTTCTCCCACAGTATAACAACTCAACTGGGATCAGCTATGAGACCCTGGGGCCAGAGGAGCTGCGTAGCCTGCTCACCACGGTGAGGGACCAGGGAAGGGGAGGCCCCTGGGAGTGGACTGACGCCACAGGCAGTGGTCAAGGCTCTGGAGGACGCTGGTGACATAGCAGTTAGGGTCATGTAGTTTTCTCTCCGGAATTAGGTTTCCTGGCCCATAGTAGCCTGGGACCGTCTGCCCTGGACACCTTCGGGCCGTTTCTCCTTGTGCAGTCTAGTATTCGTACAGAAGGGAACATCTAGTGTTTAGAGTAGGTTCCACTCCATCCCTTCTTTCAGCTTATATTCCTCTTCCAGCAATGTGGGGTGATTTCTGAACACACCAAGAAGATGTGCACAAGGTGAGCACAGAACCTAGAAAGGGGGCCAGGGGGCCCTCCTGCACACTCACCCTGGGCACGGGTCGGTAGTACCCCCAGACTTGAGCAGTGGGGCTCCTGCCGTTCCCCTCCCTCCTCCATTGGCCAGGCCTTAGGCCACAGTCTGGGAGCCGTCCATTCATCCCTTCCCCATCTTTGCCCATCCCTCCCGCCCACCTCAGCTGAGGGGAGGGGCTTCACCTGAGTTCAACAGATCCTTCCATGCCTTGTCAGGGTCTGATAATTCTCTCCCCACCAGGTCCCTGCGCTGCCCCCAGCACACAGATGAGCAGAGGCGAACCGTGCGGATTTATTTCCTCGGGCCCTCAGCGTGAGTGACCATACAGGATGGGTGGTGGGTTGTGGCAGGTTAGGGTGATGATTGGTATCACCTAAAGCCCTTTGGCTCCTCCCCTTTCAGCGTCCTTCCAGAGGTTGAGAGCTCCCTGGATAATGACAGCTTTGACATGACTGACAGCCAGGCCCTGATCAGCCGGCTTCAGTGGGACGGTTCTTCCGATCTCTCACCCTCTGATTCAGGCTCCTCCAAGACGAGTGAAAATCAGGGATGGGGTCTAGGTATGTGACACTGTTGGGCCCCAGGGCACAGGGCGCCACCTTTCCTGCCACAACCCTGCTCTCATCCTTCACGCCTCTGTCTCTGCAGGTACCAACAGCTCTGAGTCACGGAAAACCAAGAAAAAGAAATCCCATCTGAGCCTGGTAGGGACTGCTTCTGGCCTGGGCTCCAACAAGAAGAAGAAGCCAAAGCCACCGGCACCCCCAACGCCCAGCATCTATGATGACATCAACTGACTTGGGTGCAAGGGATAGCCTTCGGCTGAGCAGAGCCCTCTCTCCCGACCCCCACCCAGGTGGCATAACCTGGCACATGGACGGCTGCTGGGGGTTTGGGCTTGGGAAGCTTGGTGGGCCAGGCAGGCAGAGGATCCAATTATGCACCCCTGGGGGGTGTCAGGGTCCTCTGCAATGGAGCATGACCCCTCGGCGTGCAGGACTCAGACCTGGACATATTATGCCTTGGACATAAGTTTGGTGGGGAGGCGGTTTTCCTATTTATTCTGTGAGTTACTGGATGTCCAGCTAGGCCAGGGGCCTGACCTGGGCACTGTGCCAGGGCACTGCCTGCCCCCCACCCCAGGAACTGGACTAAGCCCTGCCGAGGGGCATTGTGGCTACCCCGGGAGGCTGTGGGTCAGAAGCTGAGCCTGGAGGGGGCCTCCTCCGGCTGCCCTCAGCAATGTGAATGGGTCCGGTGCTTGGAGCTGAGGGGCAGGACTGGGCATGTCCTGTATGTGTGCAGAATCCTATCAAATGCCCCCAGTCCCAGGGGTAGGCAGGCACAGCGTGCTGTCTGCTAAGGTAGGCGTCCAGAACTGCCACCACCTTCCCTGCCCCTCACAGGGGCAGCCCTTTTCCCTCAGTCCCCATGGGCCTCCTTGGCAGCAGGAGCTGTCCTTTTGTTGTTGGGTGCCAGGAAAGGGCCTCCAGCCTCTACAGCTTCAAGGAATGGGAAAGGGGAGGGTAGGAAGAGGGAGCTGTGTATCAAAATGACTCCCCCCTGCCTTTCCTCCCTGACCCAGGGCTGGTGAGGAGTGGGGCCCCAAGGTGAGAGGGAACGGTGCTGCTTTATTTGAAATGTTTTCTTACCTCATTCCCTGCCCCAGGAAGGGGCCCAGCCTCACCCTCCTGGGGTGGCCCCATGTTCCTCCTGCCCACCCTGCCCCACTGCCCTACGGGGGTAGCCCAAGTTCCCAGCTGCTGCTTGCCACCCCTTTCACCTCGACCAGCTTCGGTTCCTCTCAATGCTCCTGCCTCCAAAGCCTGCCCTGTTTCCCCTTCCTTAGCCGCTTTTAAGTTATTTATTCTGTACTTGTGGTTTGGGGCTCTGAGGAAAATCCTAATCTTGTGCCTCTCCCCCTTTGTTAGGAGTGGGGTGGGAAGAGAAGGTGGTCTCTGCTCTGAGTTGTCAGTGGAGGGGGAGGGGTGTCATTGCCCCTCTATGGGACTGTCATGCCAGTGTGCCCACCTACCTGGTCTGTATCCTGGAGAGATGTACCGTCCCCCTCTGTGCAGGCACCATCACTCCCAGGAGCAGAGCTGGAGGACTGCAGCTGGGGCTGGGAGCAGAGCTGACTGACACAGGGGTGAAGTCGACCCTGAGCCAAATTCTCTGGCCCTTGCTGGACACGTCCCCTGCCCTCCTTGCAAGAGGAGCCATCCCACTTTTGGGTAGCTAGTACCCAAGACTGTTTGTTCTGATTTGGGTTAGGGGCCCTAGAGGGTTAAGGTAACAACAGAGATTAGGGCCCTGTCTGGAACCCCACTCTCCTCCTGGGGTTGTTCTCATTGTGGCTGATGCCTGGTTACAAATTGGTTTTTAACCCACGAATTGTTATTATTTTTTAAAAAGCCAAACAAATTTTGGCAGGAGTTGGAATAAATCCTGGGGCTTGGGCTCCTCTGTTCTTGGCCCTCCATAGCCTTCTCCCTCCGAGGGGAAGGAGGATCTCAGCAAGCCTCCAGCCCGCTTCCAAAGGGAGTCTTGGGAGTAGGTTGAAGGTGAAGGGAGGAAGGCTGTGGGCCACTCTCCCTGCTGAGAGGCAGCTGCAGCTCAGGCCCTAATATACCCTTTCCCCTCTGGTCTCTCCCTTTCCCCCTTCTGGTTGGAGGAGGGAGAAGTGGGAAGTAGTCTGGGAACTGGTTTGTCCACATAAACTTCCCCATTGTTTCTTGGCCCGCCCTCAGGGCAGAGCCCCCTGCCCAGGCTGGGTAAGAGATGGGCTTGGTCCAGCAGGGACCCTGAGGGAACAAACCCCTTTCCTTCTGGGGAGAGAGAGTGCCCCTCTACCATGTAGTTGAACAGGGGCTAGGAGCTCCCCACTTCCCTCCCTCTAACAGCAGGCTGTGTGGGTTTCAATTCCCATCCTTTCCACCCCAGCTAGGTGTCGTCCACCCTGTATCCTATCGTGTCTGAGTGTGTGTGGGGGGGTTCTGTACTAATTTCCATGGCCGGTGGCTTTTCCTTCCATGCATCACTCCCCCCCGCATGCCCAGGGGCCACCCGCCTGGCATTACCGCATGCTGGGGTCATTGGGGGAGGGGGGTGGGGCTCACGCTGTCCTGTGGTCTTGAGATTTTTATTTTTGCATATGTAATCCATCCTGTACAGGTAGCTAACTTTGTAAACGCTGTGTATTCCCTCTGCCCCCATGGCTGCTGGTGTAAATAAACTGCATCTCCCGTTGGTAGCCCAGCCTACCCACCCTCATTGCCATGTTGCTGGGGGCAGAGCAAAGCCATTCTCTTACTGTCACAGAAGGAGGCTCCACAGCCACAAAATGGAACTTTATTCAGTCACAGACACTGACCCTCCAACCAGAGCCCCAAAGGCAAAAGCCTTGGGCCCAGTGATCCATACTCAGAGCTCGTCCTTGGAGCTGGGCAGGGTAGGACACTGGCCAAGGGCCAGTGCTGTCTTTCACTTACAGCCGTAGGCCTGGGGTAGTAGCAGCTGTGGCCTGGCCGCTCCCAATGCTGGGGGCTTGGCTTTCTGCCCCAATCCCCTTCCTGACTGAGCTCTATAAAGGACTACTAAAAAAAATAATAATGCAAGCAAAGTGCATTGAAAGAAAGGAGAACACTGGAAAATACCTAGAACATGGAGAACACCCTATTCCTGCTACATGGGTAGAGGGAGAAGGTGGGGGTGGCTAGGTGCCTATAGGGAAAGCTGGTACAATTTTCATTTCCTGCCTGTGTGATTTCAGTCTCAAAAGATTGATATTTGGCTAAAGAAATGAAGAATATTCCAGGTTCCCTACAGAGGTGTGCTTGGGCCATGCTGAGCTGCCCCAGCAGGCAGCCCTGGGTGCTGGGGGCAGGCATGCAGGATAAGGGGAAGAGCTAGGGCCACAGTTGGGAGGGAATCCTCAGAGCCCAGGCTCCCCACTGAGTTTGGCCATCAGCTCTGAACTCCTTCAAGACCCTAATAGTGAAGGAAGATGACATCCTCATTTCTACCTGAGTTGTGCTTGCACAGAGGGGATGTGTGTACCCCCATGGAGAATGGGAAGTTCCATACCTGTCTCCTGTATCCTATGGAGGAGATACCCACCACGTCCTTTCCACCCTCCCTCCCAGGCCCTTGGGCCCAGCTCTGGCCAGGAAAGGGGGGGAGGCCATAAAGGAGGAAGACCATGCCTTTCATTTTCTCCCTCTGTCCTTATCGTCCATACATCCCAAATACTAGGAAGCTGAAGAAGACAGTGACCCCCACCAGGGAGACAGTAGCAGGTGCTGTGAAGAACTGGCGGTAATTAATTCGGAAGTACCAGACAACACCCAACAGCACCACAAACACGGGCACCATGAGGCTGCCCACATTGACGCCGAGGCTGGGTGGCTCAGTGGCTGAGGGGGCCAGTGAAGCTGAGGGCCCTGGAACAGCTGACCCTGGGGGTGAGCGGTGGCAATGAATCACACAGTTGTCGGTAATGTTCAGAGAACGCAGCGTGCGGGCTGGGTCCTGCAGCAGGCGGCCCTGGTAGATCAGTTTCATCTGGCTCTCTTGTCCAGGGAAGTATTTGCTGTAAGGATGAAAGAGATGGAAGACAGAGGGTGAGGAAAAAGAAGGCAAACAGGCCTAGACCGACAAAGCAGGGCAGCAGGGAAAAACTGAAGGGTGGACTTCTAAGAAAGTATCCCACCCACCCTTAGTAGGGGGGCTGGACCTTACACTTCCCTGCTGTTCCCACATCTGTACCAGAATCCTCAGAAGTGCCTGAGGGCTGGGGGCATGGGGCACAAGCAGCCTCCCATTTTCCAGCTCACTCACCTCTTCAGGGTACCCACAGTATCCTCTGGCCTGGCCACAGCCAGCTCCTCGGTGTCATTGAGGAATTTGAGCCGCACGTTGATGAGGCCAGGGCTGGGAGGGAGGCAGGTGCTATCCTCAGATCTCAGGGGTGCCTCTGGACTGCCACTGTCTACACCTGCTTGTCTTTTGGGCAGGCCTTGGATGTCAAGGAGATGCTCAAGGCTGGGCTCAACACCACCCCCAGCTCCAGGTTCCCCTGTGGAGTCTCCCCCACCTTCTCCAGCCTCTTCAGTCTTCTCATCATTACCCTCTGATGGATGGGGGAGTTCAGTTGGCTCTGGGGTGCCTTGGCCAGCCACCAGGTGGTCCACATGCCCCAAGTGGAGGACAGATGTGTCGCCTGCTGACACAATAGTGCCCAGGAGCTGGTTGCTACCGCTGTCTGCTACGTAGGTAGAGAGCCAAGCTAGGACCAAGGCTAGAATCAGCACCACCACACCTGCCACCACCATCACCTCATTACCCACACCCTCAATGAGGGTGACATCAGAGAGCTCCATGGCCTGGCTGCTGACTGGGTCCACGCTGCAGGAACAAAGGGGATATCATCAGCAGAGCCTGAGGGCTGCAACCAAGTTTCTAGTCTGTTTAGGTTCTAACTGACCCAGCCCTGAAAGAAAATGGAATTCAGTGTCCTATAGAAGGGGGGACAAACCTTCCTAACTCTGGACCCCGAGACCAAAGCTAAAGACTTACCCTTTGCCTCAAGCATGAAACCCTAGTTTTCATGTTCCACACCCTTTCCTCTCTTATACTCCAACCCCCCAACAATCAAGGATCATCAAGAAAACCTCACAGCCTTACTGCTGTTGCTACTGATCACTGCTTTTTTGGTAGATGGGGAAAAATTTTGCTTCTTTGAGCCGTGAGCTTCTCTAGGATTTCTATCACTTGGTCAAGCAAATATGCCCACTGAGCTGCCTCCAAAGTGGCTTCAGAGAGACCAAAAGCCTGGAATATTTTATTGTGGGGCCCCTATGGAGGCACTGTGCAGCCACCCTGGCCAGACTGTCTCATTTGAGCCTATTTTATTCCTGGTGACAGATCCAGGCCCAGATGGTAACAGCCAAAGAAAACTAACCTATCAACAAAATCGGAGTCAGATCACATCAAAGGGACAACTCTGTAAGGGCCAACAGCAGCAGACATTATGTCTACCTCCTCTGAAACCCTTCTGGCAAGCCCTGGAGAGCCATGTGGGGCAGACACCAGAAACAGCACCCTCCCGGGTCACTATGGGCTCATGACTACAAAAACCACTCCCCAGGTGGAAGTGATTTGGAAAAGGTTCCACACCACCTCTCACAATCCATATCTGAGTTTCTTTTCTTTTACTATGAAGGTTCTCCCTCTGCAGTTTCTTTGAAAGGCAGGAAGGATCTGTGTTTGCTCCTTGGAGTACCTACTCTTCCCCTTGGAGAATCTGCTGCTTTCACACCTGTCCCTGGGCAAATCCAGTTTGGTGATTATCATTATCACACTATTCTCACAGCATCTACGAAACTTCATTATACTTATCTACCTGTCCTTCTCTCTATTAGACCCCTGGCAGACAAGGATCACATGTAATTCTTTGTACCGCAGTCCCCAGCATAATCCCATGTACTTGCTCAACGAATATTTGTGGAACATATCAACATCTGAATAGCTTCCACAGCCTTATTTAATAAACCGGCTCTGGAGTCAAACAAACAAACGAACAAAACAACTAACTAATTATCATCTCAGTATTGCCTCTTACTAGCTATGTAACCTCAGACATTTTCACAGCTTCAGCTTTCTCGTCAGTAAAATGGTGTTAAAAATCGTACCTACCTCATGAGGTTGTTTTGAAGATGACGCGAAATCATCGAAGCGAAATACTTAGCACAGTGCCTGGCACATTACAATTGTTCAATAAACAAATGGTAGCAATTATTTATCTCTCCCACAACTAACTACTGATGGTATGATGGTTAATGTCATCAACAGTGATTTACAGAAAAGGAAACCGTGGCAAAGAAAGACGAAAACGACTGGCAGAGACACAGGGAACGCTCGTGGGAAGGGGCAGAGCAGGACCGCAGATCTCCCGCCTCAAGGGCCTTTGCTCTCTCCTCAGCCTGTGAGCTCCCCTGACAACGATGAGGGGTCCCCAACCCTGTTTTTTCTGAAGCGAAGGTTCCGCGTTTGGACGGTCCTATTCCCGTGGCGCTGGAGTGGGGTCCATGAGCCCATATGAACCGAAAAGCTGCCGGTCCCGGCCGCCGTGCCTAAGCCAAGCTCTCCCAGCCCGTGAGGGGTAGGGTCAGGTGAGGGGGTCACAAACCATCCACACCCCTCAAACTTCGGGGCGGGGCTGGGGAACTGGGGGCGGGGCCTTGGGACGCAGGGAGTCACGGGAAATTAAAGGGGGATTGTACCAGTACCGTGCCTGGATGGGGAAGGAAGTCCTCACCTGAAAAGGCCAGACTAAATGTTTTGACTTCGCCAGGACGGCCCCTGGTCTCGTCTTTCCGTAGGGGCCGGGGGAGGGGCTGGAAATGCCCAATTCTATCCAGGGTCCTGTCTCTTCCGGCTTTTCCCGGAAGCTGTTAGGACAAGGGACAGGAAGTCCCGCCTCCGCGCCCTGCACTGATGACGCAAAGCTACGACAGGCGGCTTGACGTAAACGTATTCTTTAAATAAAAGGGACAGGTTTCTCAGCGGAAGGAGAGGCGGAGTCATTGTTGGCGGGATCCCGGGCCTCCTGGAGCGGGGCCACGCCTGGTGGGCGGGACCTTAGGCAGCCTGGATTGAGAGGCGGGGCCAAGAGGGGAGTCGGGGAGGTGCTTGGGAAAGGGGCGCGGCTTCATGTTGGTGGAGGGATTCCCCGGTTGGCGGTGCGGGGCAGAGCCCTAGCGAGGTTTCCCTTTCCAGCCTTGTTCTTCCGGCCTTGCTCTCTACCTCCCTGGCACATTGGATTCATTACTGCTTTGTAACGCGCACCGAGCTTCAGGTGAGCGGGATTAGTGAGGACTGGTCTTTCTGACTTCCCGGAACTCAGCTCTGGGCTAGTCGGAAAGACAGACGAGAAGACAAGTTAGTCTCCATGCAGGATTTGAAGAGAGCGGCCCCTGATAGTGTGGGACCTTGATAAATACGACGGGAAAGCATTTCGGAGAAGACACACATTAAGTGCAGGCTTAGGACACAAGAAAAGCAGGAACCAAAAAAAGCAGGGAAAAAAGTTCAACTTACAAGAACTTATCCATTTTGCAATTTAAAAAATTTCTAAAAACGTGCTGGGGTTTGTTTTTGGGTTTTGCTGCACTATTGGTTAAAGTATACGTAACGCAAACGGGGCAAACATAAGCGAAGTGGTTTGTACCAACTGAACGCTCAGGTGGAACCAACACTTATAACAAGAAATAGAAAATTTCCCCAGAACCCCCACTTCATGTCTTCTACCCACTAACCTCCAAAGAGTAGCCACTATTCTCACGTCTGTCACTAGAGATTAGTTTTTCCTGTTTTCATACTTTGTATAAATGGAATCAGTATGTGTCTTTCAGTCTAGCTTCTTTTTTTAACAGTCCTTTTATTATGGTAAAATATAGATAACATAACTAAGTGTATAACTCAGTGACATTCACAACGTTGTGCACCCATCACCACTACCCATTTCCTGTACGCATCAAGCAGTAACTCCCCCTTCTTCCCCCCATTCTACTTTCTGTCTCTATGAATTTGCGTATTCTAGGTACTTCATGTAAGTGGAATCATACAGTATTCGTCCCTTCATAGCTGGCTTATTTCAGGTAGCATGTTTTCAAGGTTTATCCATGTTGTAGCATGTATCAGCGTTTCATTGCTTTTTAAGGCTGAATAATATTCCATTGTATGTATATACCGTATTTTCTTTATCCATTTATCTGCTAATGGGCATTAGGGTATTTCCGCCTTTTGGCAATTGTGAATAATACTGCTATGAACATTGATATACAGGTTATCTATTTGAGTCCCTCCTTTCAGTTCTTTTTTCTGGCTTCTTTTGATCAACAGTATATTTGTGAGAGGAAAGGTACTGTTTTAATTTCTGTGTAAATGTACCTTTTGGATTTTAAGGTTTGGTGTTTTTATTTTGAACACAGAAGGGGGCAGGACATCATAGTCCAGTTAAACAAAATTCTACAAAATTTTGAAGAATAAGTAGAGATTTACCAAGTAAAGTTCCAAACAGAGAGAACAGCAGGTTCAAGGACTCTCAGTATATATTTCAGGGAATAAACAAACCACTCAACTGAACCACTGCTAATATTTTTATATAATAATAGCCGCTGTGTTTATTGAGAGAGCTTACTAGGTGCCATGTATTATGCCAAGGACTTCACATACATTATCTCACATACATTATCTCATGGAGCCCCATGAAGTAGCTCCTACTATAGGTTTGGAAACTGAGGCTCAGAGAGAATAAATAATTGTCCAAATTTATACAGTTAGTGGTGGAGCTAAAGTCATCTCTTTTTTTTTTTTTTTTTTTTTTTTGACAAAGATTTTTTTTTTTGCCCTGGGTTGAGGGCCGTGGTGTCAGCCTAGCTCACTACAGCCCCAAACTTCTGGGCCCAAGCAATCCTCCTGCCTCAGCCTCCTGAGTAGCTGGGACCACAGGCGTGCACCACTATGCCTGGCCCTTGAGCTATTCTTCTAACAGTTGCTGAGTGCAGAAAACTTGGAAGCCACGGAAGAGCAAAAAGGGGGGGAAATAAAGATGGAGTGATGGGGACCTCAGGCATATTTAAACCTAACAACATCCACGCTTTCATTCTATGCACAACTCACTTGTTTGCGTTCATAAAAACCACCTTGCCTTGGAAAGCTTCCTCCTAGAGCTGTACCTGTATTGTGGTACCTTTGACTGGGAGGCCAGAGGAAGAAGTTGAGGGGGTCGGGACACTTGGTGGCTGGTCCTACTGTGTCAGGCCCTCAGAGACCACAGGTAGTGACCACTGTTTAAGACACCACGAATCACCTGGGGGTGAGGGGAGCACATCTGGGGAAGCCCAAGGCCTCATGCACTTTACTCCCTCAACAATCTTTACTGAAGAGCTTGTTCAAGGAACACAGTTAATTACATAAGTACAGCACCCAGGAAGGCACTGCAGAGAGACTGCTATTTGCACTGAGTCTAGAGGGTCAATCAGCCTTCACCAGGCCAAAGAATGTGGAAGAGTATGCCAAGCAGTAGAGAAGAAGCATGCAGACACCTGAAAGCAAAGAAGAGCAGGTCATATCCAGCACCTGGAAACTAGTTTACTAAGGCTGGATTACAGGAACCTTGGAAGGGAGAAGGGAAGTGAGGAGGCCAGAGAGCTTGGCAGAGGCCAGGGTCTAGAGGCTTTGTTTTATTGAGTTTTGATTTTAGGTAGAGCGAATCCAATGAAGGGAATGATCAGAGTGGTGACTCTCACAGATCATTCCAGCATCCATTCAGGGCATGGGTTTCAGGACCTTCCTAGAAGTGACAAGGGCAGGTCGGGCAAGGCAGTGCAGGCAGAGTCTGTCACTGTTTAGGAGGCTGAACAGGGATATGGGTGGCAGGGGAGAGAGGTGACAAGGATCACTGGTTCCTGGCTTGGAGCCTGGGTGGATAGAGGTGCCATCCACTTCAGCACAGAAGGAGGTGGGCAAAGGCCGAGTCTGGGAACAGGCTGAGCCTGCAGACCTTCCCACCGGAGAAAGGGTCTGAAGCTCAGGTCCGGTGGGAGGTCAGCAACTGGCTCAAGAAGCCAATGGAGGCATGAGCTGGAACAGGAGGGCGTAGGGAGTGCGGAGAAGAAGGCCAGGGACTAGTTCTCTAGGCTGGGGGCAGAGTCCAGTGGAGGGGGCAGAGTGAGCTGTGGGAGCAGCCTGGCATGGGGCTCACTGGATGTGTCCCTCCACACGCAGCAGCAGGTAGTCCCTGAGCAGTGCAGGCAGCGGGAGCCGGGCAGCAGCCTGCCGGCAGCGGCTCCCCAGCTGAGCACGGACAGCCAAGCGGGCCAGGTGCTGCAGCCGCCTTGGCTGGTTCACCATGCGCAGGGCCGAGCTGTAGAAGGCGTTGTGCTCCTAGGCCAGGAGTGAAAGAGAGTCAGGCGGCCCAACACCCTTGACTATGCCCTACTACCTGGGGGCAGCCCAGTGTTGGGGGCCCTGGGATTTTGCAACATGCACCCACCTGGGTGTCTGGAGCATCTTAAAGGACTCAGATTGAGAGCCAAAGAGGCCCTGCAGTGGTTATGGGAGCTGGGGCTACACTTCAGGGAAGGGTCTCAGCCATGTCTGCACCCACTCCCGCCCCAGAGATGCCTGATAAGCGGTGTATGAAATTAGAAGTCAGCCTGTGCTGTCAGGGGGAGGGGGTACCTTGGAACCCAGGGGTTCCGCTCTGCCCATACTCTTCCATCTAGGGCCTGCCCCCATGAAGCCGGTCCTGGAGAAACAGGCCTGAGGCTGATCCTTCCTCCCCGTCTCCCCTGAGGCGGACATACCTGCCACAGCTCCGGAAGTACTGTCTCCACCCAGCCATCACAGGATGGGACACAAGGATAGGCATTAAGCAGGACTTCCAGGGCCCGAGGAAAGTTGGCACAGTGTTTCAGCATCTAAGAATCAGAAGAGGGTCTCGGGGGCACTATGCCTCCTCCAACCAAGGGCAGACCGAAGTCCAGCCTGACTGAAATCCCCTCTCACACCCTAATTTGTTTTTATTTTTATTTTTGTAGAGACATGTTGCTATGTTGCTGGTCTCAAAGTCCTGTCCTCAAGCAATCCTACCTCCCGGTCCTCCCAAAATGCTGGGAGCCACCGCCCCCAGCCTCACAACCTAATTTGGGGGAGCTAAAGCTTGAATGTCTCCTCATACTTTCTATGCCTCAGTTTACCCCACCCTCAAGTGTGCTCCAATCTTTTGGCCCCAGTTTCCTTGGGGGCTCTTTCCTCCCTTGGACACCCTCCCCTATAACCCTCTCCCGCAGCCCAAGACAGGGACAGACCTCTGGCCACTGAGTAAGCTTTCAGTCTCTTGGACCCCTCTCTCCCCCAGAGGCAGGGCAATTCCAGCCGCAGGGCCCCCCGTCCCCCCGGACTCCCGCCATGGTTGCCTCCGTCTCAGGCCCTCCCTACGCACCTCAGGGCGGGCAGGCTGGGCCCCATAGTCCAGCAGCGCGGCGAAGAGGACCTCGGGCTCCCAGTTGGGGGCGTCCTGCACGGACTGCAGCGCGCAGTCCATGGGTGTGTGGCCCGCCCCGTTGGGGACTCCAGCACAGGCCCCGTGGCGCAGCAGCAGCTCGGCCAGGGCCCCGCAGCCGTTGGCACAAGCGTTGTGCAGCGGCGTGTGGCGCTTGCGCCCGGCCGCCCGGGCATCAGCCCCGGCCTCCAGGAGCAGACGCGCCGCGGCTTCGTGCTGCCGGCCTCTGCCCGGGCCCTCGGCCCCCGCGCACGCCGCGTTCAGCGCCGTCTCGCCCTGGCTGGTGCGCAGGCCCACGTCGGCGCCATGTTCCAGGTAGAGAGCCACGTGCTGCTCCAGGCCGCGCGCCGCCGCCACGTGCAGGGGCGTCACCTCGCTCTCGGAGCCCGCCACGTTCACCTTTGCTCCCGCCTCCAGCAACAACTTGGCGCACCTGGGGACAGGGCACAAGGCCCCGGGGCAAATCCTTAGGGCCAAACTTGCTGTCACCACCCCTGCTTCCTTCCCACCCCTCCCCTCCAGGTCCACCCTCGTGTCCCCCCTCAGAATCAACAGAAGCCCCATGACAGACAGCAGAGCTGGAAGGCCCATAAAAACCACCAGGAGCATCCATGATTTTGAGATGAAAAACTTCAGCCCAGAAAGGATTCGTGCAGTCAAGGTCACACAGCAAGGTAATGGCTACACCAGAATTAGTACTCACTGTCTCAGTCCCTTCCAGAGCCTGCCCTGACTCCCCACTGGAATGGGACCTCAGGGCCTGGTTCTGAATCATTTGTCAATGGCCTCCTAACATTTTGATAGCACAAATTTTGAAAACCCACTCCTGTGTACACTGCGAGCATACGAAATGTATTCGCCAAAAAGAAAAATAAATAGAAGTTGTAATATTTTCTTCCTGCCCTCAAACTTGAAGACCATTCTTCTAGACCAAGCCATGATCATTCAAGCAAAGGCAGG